GAAATGCACATTTTTTATTCCTCAATAATTTTTTACATTTTTTTTATCTCTCGACTCTAAAAATTGCATAGTTTTGATCTCTCCATCAGTTAAGTATGATATGACAGTTAAATAATTTCATGTGACATTATCTTTTAATTTTTTTGATGATGTGGCAATAATATATATTTTAATTATGTTATATAAATAAATAAAAATAACACGTTTAATATTTATAGTTTAAATAAAAACAAATAAAATTACCTAACTACCCTCACCCACTCAATCCCTCTTCTTCCCTTTTTTTCTTTCTCTTTCTTTCTTTCTTTCTGGCCCTGGGTCTCCACCAGGCTGGATTCCGATGGCTACGACAAACCTAGCCTGTTGGATCTCGTCGGAACCCAGCCTTGCTGGGTTTGAGGAGACCCAGCTTGGCTAGGTCTCCCTTGCTAGGTTCCGACGAGACCTAACAGGCTGGGTTTCCCCGAACCCAGCAAGGCTGGGTTCCGACGAACCATGCTGGGTCTCGTCGAACCCAGCTTGGCTGGGTTTCCCAAAACCCAGCTTGGGTTCCAACGAACCCTGCAGGGCCTCGTTGAACCCAACCTTGCTGGGTTTCCTTGAACCCAGCTGCTGGGTTCGACGAGACCCAGCTGGGTTCCGATGAACCTAGCTTTGTTGTTTCGATGTTGGATTCATGTTTTTTCATTCTTCTTTCGATTTTCATTTCTAGTTGTTAATAAATTTTAGAGTTGATTTACAATTTGATTGTATTTTTGTTGGAATTTTATTAGAGTTTGATTGATATTGTTTATTGAAAAGTTAATTTGATTTGATAAGATCTACTAAGTTTGAGGCTTCAATGAAACCCAGTAGCTGGGTTCAATTTCTCAAGTTCTCTTGAGAAAAGAGAAGAAGAATAAATGGGTTAAAATCGGTTTTGTAAAGGAGTGGAAATGAGAGAGCATTAAGAGAAAAAGAAGAAGAAATGGATTAAGATTGATTCTGCAGATGGAGTGGAGATTGATTTTGCAGAGAGTGAAAATGAGAAAGGAAGATGACATGTCGCAAAAAAAGTCCAAATCAGCACCTTTTTAAGTTATTTTTGCCATGTCATAAAAAAAATATAAAAAATGCCATGTGGCCGAGTTAACGGCAAAAATTAACAAAAGGACTAACGGAGTGCATTTCGTATAGTTAAGGGATCAAAAAAGTGCAAGAAATTGTTGAAGGACCAAAAATATGCAACTAACTAAAGTTGAAGGACCAAATTTAGCATTTAACCTTCTTATTATTTATTAGTACTGTTTTTGATAATTCCCCCCTCCAAAAAAAAAAAAGAAAAAGAGATAAAGATAAAGAAAGAGGCCCCACCACACTATTGCAGCTACCGGCCATGTGACAACCCTCTGCCTCATCTGCTCGAGAAAAATCCAAAAGCAGAACCACTGTAATCTTTTCCACCCATGGAAAACACCAGTACCGTTATGCGGCCACCGCCGCCACCATAACCTCTATCGCCCCCCTTTTTGGCCGCAACTAACAGTACTACAGTCGGTACTCCACCGCCACAATTACCAGTCCCTATGGATAATTCCAATATTACCCTCTTCATGCCACCGGCGGCCTTCCCTGATACACCAAGACGAGTCGATTTATCCCTTATCGTGCTCATACTTGCTCTAATGGCAGTTATCATGCTCCCCACGCTAATCTACGCTTTCTTCTTCGCTGTTAAATTCCCACCCTGGCTTAATTCCGACCGAAATCATCAGCAGAGCTCCGATGAGCTCTCCACGGACAACAGCGGTGGTCCCGGTCCCGGTGCCGGATCTGATCGAGTGCCGGAGCCAGTTCCGGGTGTCAAGTACCAGAGGGAGTCCCATGTGAAGGAAATTGGAAGCGATTGTCCAGTTTGCTTGTCGATATTCGCCGACGGGGAAGAGGTGAGACAGTTAACCGCTTGCAAACATGCATTTCACACCACCTGCATCGATTCGTGGCTCAATAACCACTCCAGTTGTCCGATTTGCCGCGCTTCCGTGACTGTAAAGAAGCCCAGTGGCAGGACGGCGGCACCAAGGAGAAGAGATTATTACAGTATGCGTCAAGGTTTGCCGGATGCGGCCAGTTTGGTTTGAAAAACATAAATTCTGCATCTTATTCTTTTTAATTTTCTTTAATTTGCGAAGACCATAGTTTTGAAGTTTGCTTAGATGGCATAGTGCATGGGGAAAATATATTCAAAGGGAAACAAATACTCTTCATGAAGTAAAAGTTGCGGCCACAATAAGCGAGTGTGAGTGTTGTAGATAAGGTTAGTGTTTAAGGGTTAAAATTAATATTT